CAACGTAACCATTGCTCTTTGATATGTTGCCCCGGCGTTCTTAAGTCCGAAGGGCATCACCTTGTAACAAAATGTACCCCACATTGTCACAAAAGTTGTCTTTTCCATATCTTCTGGGTCCATCTTAATTTGATTGTAACCTGAGAAACCATCCATGAAAGAGAAAAGAGCATGACCAGCCGTATTTTCAACCAAAGTATCGATATGTGGGAGTGGAAAATTATCTTTGGGGCTCGCTCGATTGAGATCCCGGTAACAACACACATCCGAACTTTGCCATCTTTCTTTGGAACTGGTACTATGTTTGCTACCCATTCAGGGTACTTAGCCACTTGTAAAAATCCAACATCGAATTGTTTCTTCACTTCTTCCTTGATTTTTAATATCATATCTGGTCTCATTCTTCGAAGTTTTTGTTGAACAGGCTTGCATTCCGGCTTTATTGGTAGCTTGTGCATCACGATGTCAGTCTCCAACCCCGGCATATCTTGATAAGACCAAGCAAACACATCCCTATATTCCCGAAGAAGGCTTATAAGACCATCTCTTATTTTTGGTGAGAGTGAAGTGCCAATTTTAACTTCTTTTATATCCTCTTCTGTTCCCAAATTTATTGTTTCAGTTGTCTCTTTGTGGGGCAATATTTGTCTATCTTCTTGCTCCATCATTCTAACAAGCTCAGATTTTAACTCACATTCCTCTTCATCTTTATAACCCTCAGATTCTTCGAGACACATGTCATTTTTAAAATCAATTTGTGGTTCAAAAGTATCATTACTCGAACAGTTGATATCTGAAGACCTGCGAATCAAAAAGGAGTATATTTGGTTGTGGACAAAAATTTTATCTAATATTTATCAAGAGAATAATTATCAATAAAGAATAAAGAATACTCAAGAGATGAATAAAATACTTGCTAAGATTAGAATGAAAGAAGAACACTGTTTCATTAAAGCAATGACAAATAACAATTTGTCCTTTTACAAAAGCCCTATTATATTTGGGTCAAAAGGAGACAGATTTGTTATTATGCATTACTTTGAAAAGTGCTTATAGAACACAGGGAGTTCTTCAACAGTGTAATTGTTCAAAACATAGCCAGGAGGACACGGACGGATTGATGCCAATGAACACTCTCCAGTAGAATCTTCTGTGACAACGTTGATGCTCAGGCTTCCCAATAAATCTTCAACAAATTCTGTATCTTCAATATCCCCTGACTGTTTCAGCGTGTCAATCACAAATCCTCCAGACACAAAAGATTTGGAGAGAGGCGGAATGACCATGGGTCCCCAAACAAGATCTTCTCCCTTTACTCTTGCATTCCTCTTTTCCTTAAGCTTTTGTGCATCCTTGACTTTATCATGGTACGTTGGTTTGTATCCGAGACCAAAATAATTTCTTTTAGGAACTGGAGCCGGCCCTTCAGTGATGCCTTGCAGTTTCTTTCCCAAGCCTTTCCCTACCTTTGCTCCTCTAGCTAATGTCTCCTTTAATTGCATCTTTGTATTTTTTGAAAGATGAGGAATGGGAATTATTTTGCCTTCAGAGATAAAAGTAGCATTAACAAATTCCAAGGACTGGAAAGAGGACTCTAGTGCATTTTCATCTACCCCTACATATGGTGCATCTGTAGTGATAGAGGCAATGATGTCTTCTTCCGCTTTGATGGTCACCAGCTTCCCATCACCAATGAATCGGAGCTTTTGGTGAAGGGAGGAAGGAACTGCCCCAGCCATGTGAATCCAAGGTCTCCCTAACAAGCAACTATAACTCGGATGAATATCCATGACAACAAAATCCACTTCAAATGTTGTAGGGCCAATTCTGAGAGGGATAATCATCTTCCCCATTATCTTGCGTTCTGTCCCATCAAATGCCCTTACAGCATTGCCACAAACCCTCATTTGTGATACATCCACAGGAAGTCTATTTAGAGTGGCGAATGGCATAACATTCAAGGCCGATCCGTTGTCAATTAACACCCCTGAGACGATGACTCCCTTGCAATGAGCCGTAATGTGTAAAGCCTTGCCCCTGCCTTTTCCTTCTTCAGGTATTTCATCATCATAAAAATAAATGAAATTATCTGCATTAATATGGTTTACCATCCTGTCCACACGTTCCACTGGTATATCCTTCCCTACAAAAGTTTCATTCAGCACTTTGATCAGAGTATTTCGATGTACTTCTGAAAGCAACAGTAGAGATAACATTGAAATCCGTGCTGGGGTCTTATGAAGCTGTTCCACAATGTTATACTCGCTGTGTTTCAGAAACTTTAAAAATTCCTGAGCCTCCTCAATCTTAACAGGCTCATTCAATTTATCATCAGGATCTTTAATAACCACATCTCTTGCTTTATCAGCCTTTCCAGGAGCATATCATCTTTCACTCCTGGTGAAAAATCCAACTTCAGCAACCTCTTCCTCCTTACTCTCAGGAGTATTAATTTGGCATGTATAGTCCCAGGGAACACTCTTGTTACTCTTGTAGGCAAAAGGCGCAGGGGTTTTGATTACCACCCTAGATGTTATACTTCCACTGCTGGCCTCGTAATTTGGTTTCGATATGACCAGGACATGCTTTTTTAAATTCTTTTCAGCTTCCCTTGAATTTTCTTCAGAAGCGCAGATATATCTTTCATTCTCACTCATTCTTTCTTCATAGAACTGCAACTCCTGCTTGTTCATTAATTCTTGGACTATTTGCCTGAATTCTTGACAGTCCTGAATTTGATGACCATTTTCACCATGGTATTCACAAAAGTTTTCTGTCTTTTCCGTTGAGCATTCATTTCTAGGGCTCAACAACCCTCTCTCCTTTATTTGAGCATATACCCATTTCAGTGGTGTTCTTATTTCTTCAATTCTCCTTTTAATTTTCTGATTTTTCTCAATAGCGTTCACTCCCTGATTCTGATGATTTGGAAGTGGGTTTGCAGCAACACAGGGTGCTTCAGAATCATTAAAGGACACAACCTTTCTCTTGATCAGATCTTCAACCACTCTTTTGAAAGCGAGACACTTTTCAATGTTATGTCCTTTGAGATTTGCATGATATTCGCATGTCTCATTTTCATTGAACCATTTTGGATAAGGTGGTTTAATTGGATCAATGAATTTTGGTGACACTACGTGAGCTTGGACTAATCCATGGAAGAGCTCACTGTAAGTCATTGGTATGGGAGTGAACGTCATCCTTTCATTGTTATGCTCGCGCTTAGTCTCTCCTTGGGATGAAGAAGAATTTCCCATCTTCGGCTTACTCACAGAGAAATTTACATTATTCACCTCTCATTCTTTCCTTTTCACATAGGGTTTCTTTGCAGGAGTTTGGCTACCGACAATCTGCCCCTTCTTTAATGCTCTCTCGATCATCTCTCCGCACATCACGATATCAGAGAAGCTCTTAGTTGCCACTCCTAACATATGATCAATATAAGGAGATTTTAACGTATCTATAAACATGGTTATAAACTCCCTCTCAATAAGTGGTGGGTGCACTTGAGCAGCAATATCCCTCCAACGCTGAGCGTATTGTCGGAAGGTCTCATTATGCTTCATCTCCATATTTTGGAGAGTAACACGATCAGGCATCATGTCGGTAACGTGTTGATACTGTTCTTTAAACGCATTGGCCAAATCCTTCCAAGACCCTATTTTAGCTCGGGTTAATTGGTTATACCATCTGACAGCTGACCCCGTCAAGGTGGCCTGGAAACAATGAATTAATAGCCCATCATCCTTCACAAATCCTGTCATTATTCGACAAAACATGGTCAAGTGAGCAACATGACAAGTTTTTCCATCATACTTTTCAAATTCCGGCATTTTGAACTTTGGTGGTAATACTAAGTCTGGCACAAGACTTAATTCCTCTGCATTCATTCCGTCTTGAGAGCCCTGCTTTCCCATTTCTTTAAAAAACCCTTTGCACCAGTCCTTTAAATGCTCTGGTACTTCCGTTTTAGGTTTCTCCATTTCCTCAGGATCTACATCAATATACTCATAAGGACTGTTTTGAGGGTTAGTCGTGGCCATTTGAACCTTTACCGCTGAAGACCCTGCAGGATGCTCAACTAGCTTTTCAGGTGAGATAACTAGTCTCGGGGTAGACTCCTGCCTAGAAACTTCAACAGGGGCAGTGCTTGGTTCTTTAACTGTTTCAGTACGTAACCCAGACATCTTGGTCATCATCTCATTCATCATATTAGCCTGGCTTTGCAGGATTTGATCTATAATTGACTTTTGTGACTGATCCATCTTTGCCTGCCATTCTTGTTGTATTCTTAGTAAATCTTCTTGCATTTCTTTCTTTAATTGATCAAGCTTGGCATCCATGGCTCTACCTCGCGTGTGATAAGGATTGGAGTTTTTACTTGCCAGAATCGTCTGTCACATAACCCTTCGGAAATTAATTTTATTGTTTTTTTTTTAATTCGAATGCATATTATTGGTAATGTGCTATAAATGATACATTTTATTGGTGATGCATTATAAATGACGAATTTACTTATGCATAATGAATGATGCAAGTATGAAATGCAAATAAAAGGCGTTGACCCAAGCAGTAACCATTCGGAAATACTTTCATTGGATAAAAAGTTTCACTCATTACAAAGGAGTTCTATTACATATAAGGCCTAGCCCTCAGACTCAGCTCTACAATTTCATTCATAATGGCGATGATCTCCCTTGTATATTCAGAAACCGGATTTGTGCACAGTTGGATGATCTCCGCTCTATTGGCTAATTCGTTCATGTACCGAGCCACTTCACCCATTTGAGCAATAGCTTCCCCCATCATGCGCTCGCGTTCTTCTACCAAGGATCGATAATGCTCATATGTATTTTCCCATCCCTTATTGATGCGTTTGATTTCTTTTTCTAGACTGGTAATATGAATTCGACATTTCTGGAGTTCACCTTTCAATTCTCTGATTTCCTTCTGGAAGGATTTGTTTTCTTCGAGAGCAACTCTTAGGTCCACTGAAACAGGAGGAACTTGCACTTGCAGAAGGGATTGCTCAAGGTTCGATACATGACTTTTGAGCTCATCATTCATAGCTCGAGATTGGTTCATCTCATGTTCGAATCTCATCTGTAATTCTCCCATTTCTCCCGTGAGCTCATCTACTTGCTGACTTTTTGTAGAGAATCTCTGCATCCACGATCCAATCTCTGCCTGCTTTCTATCTAGGATTCGATTCCATCCCTGTCTCTCAGACCACATCTCTTCTTTCTTTTGCTTTCTTTCTTCTTCAAGCTCTAAAATTCTTCGATCTTTGTCCTCAAAGTCCTCAATTATACTATTCATCTCAGTTTTTAACCCCTGGACTTGATTCTTTTCTTCTTCTAATTCTTTCAAGCTGACTTCTCTTTCTTCCTGGAGTTTTTGAGCTCTACGAGCCTCAGCTTTATACTGCTTGATCAATTCCTTTTTATCGGCCTCTAGCTCGCATACTTTTGCTTTTCCATCTTCTATCTTCTTGATCTGACACTTGTTCTCAATTTCCAGACTTTTGATTCGCCGTCTTGCAGCTGCTAATTCTCTGGATCCAAGTCTCTTTCTCACTTGCTGCACCATTTGATAATCCTTTTTTAAGTCTTCTAAATCGGCTTCCACCTCCTCTTTCCGTTCTCTCATCATTATAAACTGTCTGGCATGAAATTCAGCCTCGATAGTCAACATGAAGTTTTCTCTCTCCATCTCTTCTATTTTCTTGGAATCTTTAGCCTTTTCCATTTCAAACTCAATTCTTTGGATTTCCAAATTCGAAGGGATATTTCTGATTTGTTCTTCTATTGACCTTGATCCCTCTCCAGATGTTAAAGGTATCTTATCATTTACCCTCCTGATTCTCCAGGCTTCATAATCAGGCGTCAAGATAACATCCGCTCCAATTACTTTAGTCCTAAAAGTCATTCTCCAAGAATCAGCCACATCTTTGATTTTCTTTCTATAATTGCCTTCTTTATAATCAAATTCAGCATCAGTCAACCCATGAGTCACAAGAACAAACTGTCGGGCACCGTACTGTCTCAATATCAACAAAGGAGCGTATCCCACTCCTCCCCATAGTCCCAGTAATATAATCCAGTCCAAATCTCCACACTTGAACAAGATTTGCGTATGCATCAGCCACGGTGTTTGCCATGCTATGTTTTGACTCTGTAGATTCCGGAAGAAATCAATCCATTGATCTTTCTGAGATACTTCAGGCCACTCCTTCGTAAGGTACTCAGCAACAGGAGAATAATCTTTCAAAAAACGATTATAGTTGACTTTTTCTTCCTTCCAGAAATGGCTTCTGATCCACACAGTAAGCAATTGAGCACAGCCCATAAAACGACCTCCCCCCAACCTTCTACATATATTCAAAGATCGGAAAGTTTCAACAAGAATCGCATGAACTGGATTCACCTCTCTTCCTAACTTCTCAACCAAATCGACTACTGCTAGCTCGATCAGCCCCAAATATTTTGGAAAGATTACCAAACCATATATACCCAAAGCAAATACATCTCTACGCACGTTTTCATCTACGTGTGCTTCAGCTATCTTTTGTAAGTGAGACCACGGCACTCCCTCACTTTCTCCCTTGCGTTGCAAGCGATCATTTACCCATTTGTCGCTTGTGCCCGAGATCTTTGCAAGCTTTGACTTAAAAGAAGGCCCTTTTATCGATCGGGAGTAAACTTTGTCCACTTTAACGCTTGGCAAATTCAACAGAAATTGGTATTCCTCGAGGGTTGGAGTCATGTCCTCTCGGTTGAATGTGAAACAACTATAGGCCGGATTCCAAAACTGTATTATGCTTCGCATGAGAACCGGATCTACCTTCACGTATATCAGATGAAATATATCTCCATAACTCTGCTGAAAAGCTTGCCTCTCAATAAGATTCCAACTTTCCCAAATTGTTTTCAATCCCTGAAGCTCATTCTGTTTTAAAGAAGCTGGTGTATAATCAGACAGATCTGACACGTAGTTCCCTGATAGACTATCTCCCTGCTCTTTCTGCTTGGCTTCGGACCAGTTCCTTACATCTGCTGGATTCACTTCTTTGTTTAGGAAACTCCTTTCCATCGTGAAAGTCTTTCCACTTTATCGATACTCACAGATCAATCGCCTTTTCTAATGATATGTCTATGCAGTATGAAAAAAACAAACAAAACAAACAAAACAGTTAGTTAAAACAATTGTATAAATTTAACCTAAAAAGATATGTAAAACGGGAAATAAATCTACTCCCTTTATGTATTATCTACCCGAATAATATTCCTCAAAAAGGGCCTACCCAAACATGCTTTCTACCCTCCTAAATTTATTTAATTAAATTCTAACTGCACCTAAATTCTATTTCACATGCTTTAAAAGAATAAATCTATTCTACACACTCAAAAATAAATAAATAAAATAAAAATAAAAAGGTTAGAGTAGGTTTCTCCATTGTGTACGCCTATTTTGGGTACCTATTGACGGACAGAGGTTCAGTATGACTCTACCTAGTGTGACCGTTCTATGGTTCATTATATGCATGGTTTCGGCTCTAACAGGAAAAAGGGACTCGAATTGTCCTTGATGTTAGTGCCCCCTTGGGCTGCCAAACCCTCAATCCTCACCCATTACAGGTTTCAAACGGACCGAGTTCAATTCGAGGGGATTCACTGCCTTGTACCCATACGAGGAATAAATTCCTACGAAGGTATAAGGTATGTATCCCATGGGTTATTTGCTAAAACTCATACGAAGAATAAATTCTTACGAGAGTAAAGCAATCACCCTAACTAATTTGGATCGAAGCTCATGTCTAGAGCTCATGTTATGCTAATGAAAGTGATGTGTGTGAGGAGAAACAAACAAACCTTTGACTCAAAAACAGGGAAAATAAAAAGATAACACTCAACGAGAACTAAGAAATATCTGAAAAAAAATGAAAACAATTAAAATGTTAGTATATAAAAATAAAGAGATAAAATAATAAATAAAAATTCAATACATAGATCATAGTTTTACTAAAGATTCAAACTTATAATTTCCACCATAACGACCATATATAAGCAACCGACAGCCTGACTCTCTAGTGTCCCCAGCAGTGTCGCCAAGCTGTCATAACCATTTTTTTTTAAAACAATTAAATATTATTTTTAAAAACAATTATGACTTTAATTTGGAAAATTTGGTGATTTTGGAATTGATTTGAATAAATATAGAAAAGAGTCGCCATCGACCTTTAGGTTAGGTGGGTCGAATACCTAAAAATATCTTTTAAAAACAATTTTAAGAAAAATAGTTTTTTAAGACAAAGATGGTATGCGTTTACCAAAGATTCAATTTAATGGATTCGGGAGTCGGTTACGTGTGAGGAAGGGTAAACACCCCACAGCGCCCAAAATTGGTATTGTATCACTTATATATAGTCATAAATGGTAGAACTTAAAGTTTGAATCAGAAGTAAAAATATGATCTATTTATTGAATATTTGTTAAAATAATAGAAATACTTCTCAAGATTTGCAATCCTCCAACGGGAAAGCTATCTCATCTATTTCTTATCTATAAAGTATATTCTATCTTTGAATTACCACTAAATAATATCGACATGAGTAGAAAATAAAATATGCTTAATTTATCTAAAACATGTATCGTTAATATTAACATAACAACCATTAATACAATAAAAAATATAAAAATAGAATAATAAATAAATTATGATCTATTTATTGAATATTAGTTAAAATAAAATAAAAAAACCCTTTTCTCGATAAGAAATCCCGAGATTTGCAATCCTCCGCCGGGAAAGCTACCTCGTCTATTTCTTACTTGTAAAGAATATTTTCTCTTTAAATTAAAAAAATAATGTCGAAAATTGACATAAAATGCATCATATTTTATTTTTCCAAAACATACATCACTCATATTAAGATTCAATGAAGAAATAATAATAAAGATTAAAATTTAAATATTAAACAATATGAACATCAAATAAATTAACAAAAAATAGAATAACAATAAAAATAATTTCTATAAGCTTGTAAAAGGAAGAATTTGCATTTTTTTTATCATATTATGTTTGAACGTCGTATAGGATTGCATCACTTCGATCAAGTGGTGCTTTCCACCCCATTCTACAAATTCATATTCTTGAAAAATATTTGAATGAAATTAACAACTAAGGAAATAAAATAGAAACAAATATGCTTGCAAATGACAAATAAAATATTTACAATATTAAATAAGAACATTTACTATATATGCATAAAGGATTGAAATGCAAACAATTAAATATTACAAACCAAACTAAAATACCAAAATAAATCATTTAAGGTACTAAAATGTAATTAACGGAAATTAAAAGGGCTAAAACGACAAAAGAATATTAGGGACTAAACTGCAAAAATACAGGAAGATAAAGGACCAAAATAGATATAATAGAAACTTTAGAAACCAAAATGGAAAAATTGAATTTTGGAAACTAAAACAGTAAAAACAGAATCTTCAAGGGCTAATCAGCAAAAACATGAATTTAAAATACTAAAATCAATAACAGAAAGTTAAAGGACCAAAATGCCAAAAACCAAAACTAAAGGACTAAACAGCCATTACAAAACAAACAGAACCCAAATATAAAACATTAAAAATACAAATACTAGAAACCAAAATAACTCAAAAATATTATTAAGGACTAAAATAAAATGAAAGTAAAACAAGCAAGCCATATTCAGCTTTTAACCCAATATATAAAAGTAGTGATCAAAATGCATTCAGAATCAAAACACATGGATTATAAACATAAATGAAACATGTATTTCTTTTACATAGTAAATAGTGACTAAAATGAACCAACAATAAACTATAATGCACATGTATAAATAAATTAAAGTTTGATAGCTCAAACACAAATATAACCACATAAATATTTAAAAGCAAATAATGACGAAGATGTAACAAAAATAAAATAAAAGCTCAAAATGAAATGATGAAATTTCATTAAAGTGGTAAGATTACAACCATTACACAAGCTACAGGGACCTTAACTGTGATTTACCCATAAATGTTAAGAACATGCGTGCAAGATTACAGAGGTAAGAGGACCAAATATGCTATTAGCCCTTAATCCCATCACTCGATCTCCCTCTTGCTTTAAAACGACGTCGCTCGACGTCTGAAATATAACCCTTTTAAGGGTTATTTTGAAACCCTAAAATCATTTGCTAGCTCCCCAATTTCCTCAGCCGTTTGGCTATCCCTCTCCCTTCTCATATTTCCTTCTCCCTTCGCCTAAAACAGAGGCCCTAACTCCCCGGCCAACGTAGAACGGTGGCCACGGGGAGTAACCCAAACCCAGAGAAGGTTCTCTACGCCCTTAGAGCTACCCACTACGCTGACCTAATACCCAGATAAACCCTTTAATTTCGAACCCAACAAGCCCCAGAAAATAGACAAGTTTTTTTTTACCTTCGGTGAGGGACGCTTGGCTCCGATGAAGCAACGGTGGTGGTCGAAAAAAGGGTAAGATTCTCACTCTATCTCTCTTTTATTTGGTTCGAATGGATGCTTCCTTTTTTTTTAAATGTTCTCTGTGTTTTTTTTTTCACCGACCCCTCTCCATTTTCTCTTCTTTGGTCTTTTATGTTTGCTTGCATGTGGATTTCTGGTGAGATGATGATGATATCTAGGAAAAATAGGGGATGGGTCTCACTGACTTTGCATGATTACATCCCGATTTTTCGGGATTTCTTGTGTACTTGCTTGATTTTATTTGATTTTTTCTTTGAATCACTGACTGATGGATTATTTTTCATCCACTGTTGATGATGAACTTGACTTGAGAGATGCTCGGTGGCTTGGGTTGGCTCGATAGCAACTCACGCGGCTCAGGAATGACCGGTGAAGATCAACGTGCGGCTGGGGATTGGAAGAGGCGGCGTGGCTGCTCACTTGGTTTAGGGTTTAGGTTATCTACTGGATTAGGCCAGTGATTTGGGTTCCAGTGGGCTTCTGGTTTGGGCTTCGGGATTTGATTAGGGTTGGGTACTTGTAAACTGGTTGGGCTTCAGGTTTGGGCCTCAAGATTGGCCTGCAAGACGTAAATTGTAATTAGTAATAATAATAATAATAATAATAATAATAATAAAATAAAAAATAAAAAAAATCAATATAAAAGACCCGGACAAAAACGGGCGTCTACACTACTATTGATAGGACCTACAATCTATAACATTGATTTTATGGTAATCGACATCCATATGACTTATAATTGTCTGCTTGGAAGATCGTGCATCCATTCTACAGGAGCGATCCCTTTGTCCTTGAACCAAAAACTGAAGTTTTTCATTGACGAACAACTTATTAGTCTTGAGATCAAGGAAGATATCGTTGCTTTTATAACAACATATGTCCTTTATATTTAGGGATGTAAAATCGGGTAATCGTTCAGGTTTCAGTCGGATCCTGTCAGGTCGGGTAAAATCGGATACAAGACAGGTCAGATAAATTTGATGCTTCGACTCGGATCAGGTCGGGTCCAGGTCAAATCAGGTCGGGTCATTTTCAGGTTGATTTGACACCATGTACAGTTTGGGTTAATTTCAGTTCGGATCGATGCCAGTTCAGGTCAAAATAGTTCAGGTCTGGAGCAGTTAAAAAACATGTTAATTCAGGTTCGGATGGACTTCAGGCGGATCTCGTTCAGATCGGGTAACATCATTAACAGATAAAATTCAAGTCGGATCTCTATCATATACAGATTGAGTTCAAATCGAGTTAATTTTTATGTTTGGATTAATTATTTTCGTCTTTCGCGAACGTTAAATTGCAATTTGTAATTGTATATGATTTAGAGTAAATTACTAAGAATATAAATAATCATGGTTCAATTTTATGAAAAAATACAAATTTAAGAATTAAATTGAACAAATATGAAATTACAAATTAAAATTTAAATAAATTAAACAACACACATTGATGAGGGATCAAATCGAAATAATTTTAAATTGTTAGGTTGAAATTAATACAAAAAGTACTAAATTATACCCATTTAAAAAGTTATGGGCCAATTAAAAATATAAATAAGTAATAAGTATGTGTCAATTTCAGATGCAAATATAGTTTGGAGGACTAAATTGAACAAAAATGAAATTACAAATAAAAATTTAAATAAATTAAACAACACAAAGGGATCAAATCGAAATAATTTTAAATTGTGAGATTTAAATTAATACAAAAAGTACTAAATTATACACATTTAAAAAGTTATGGGCCAAGTAAAAAATATAAATAAGTGATAACTATGAGCCAATTAATGTATATATATATGGTATATATGGTTTAAGGTTTAGGGTTTATGATTTCAGGTTAATTTATGGAATTATATATAAATTATATAGTTTATAGATAGTAGTATTTAAACTATATATAAACAATATAAACTAAGTTATATTATATGTAAACTATATATACTATATAATTTACATATGAACTGTATGTATAAACTATATAAACTATGTAAACTGTATAGTTTATGTATGACCTATATATATAGTTTATCAGTGAACTATATAAACTGTTTATATAGTATATACTATATATATGAACTATAGTTTACATATGAACTATATATATAAACTATATAAACTATTCAGTTTACATATGAACTATATATATAAACTATTCAGTTTACATATGAACTATATATATAATATAGTTGATATTTATATATGAACTATAGTTTACATATAAACTATATAGTTTATATACTAACTATAGTTTACATATAAACTATAGTTGATATTTACATATGAACTATATACACTATATTTAAAAAATTGAAAACAAAATTATAATATATATATAATATAAGTTTATATATAAACTATATTTATAATATAAACTATATAATATTTATTAGCTATATATATAAATTATGTTTATATGAACTATATATATAAACTATATATGTATAAACTATAAAAAAATATATAGTTTATAAATTATAAATTATATTAATATAGTATATATATGTATGTATAACTAATATAAGTAATCTATACGATATATATATATATATATATATATATATATATATATATATATATATATATATATATATATATATATATATATATATATATATATATATATATATATATATATATATATATATAGTTTATAGAAATACTATACATAAACTATATAAAGTAATAAAGTATATAATTTAATAAAACCCTAAACCCTAAACCCTATACATAAACAACAGTTAATATATGCAACCTATAATATATGTATACATGTAAACTATATATGTAACTTATAGTATATGTATGTATAAACTATGTATAGTATATATAAACTATATATATATATATATATATATATATATATATATAACCTATAGTATATGTATATATACAATCTATTTATATGTTATATAAACTATATATGTAAACTATAGTTTATAAACAATAATTTATATTAATGTACTATATATTTTATACTTTATAACCTATTGTATATAATTTATAAATTACAGTTTATATTAATGTACTATATAGTTTATATTAATGTTAATTATCTTAACTATGATTTATATTAATATAATATATAGTTTATAAACTATACTATATAATTTATAACATATAGTTTATATTAATATTAATTTTATATACTATATTTTATATTAATATTAATTACAAATTATAAACTATATTATAGTAATATAAGTTAATATTAATATTAATTATAATATATAATTATTTAATATTAATTAAAAATATTTTATTAATATAGGCGCCAAAAGTAACCACTTTATTTCTCCCGCCTCTTCCCGGCAAAACCCTCCCTCATTTATTTTCGGTCTCTCTTCTTCCCCACTCAGCATCCAAAATCTCTCCCTCTCAATATCCAAAATTATGTTTCCCTCGTTTTCCCTCTTCTTCCCTCTTCTAAGCAAATGAAAAGCTTAGAGAGGCTGTTGTGGCACAAAAGCGAGCTGAAGAGAGCTCTGAGATCGAGAAATTCCGAGCTCTTGAGTTGGAATAGGCGGGGATTGAAACTGCTAGAAAGAAAGATGCTGAATGGGAGAAAGAGATCGAGTCCATGAAGAAACAGAATACTTTGGATGTGGCTGCGCTTCTCTCAACCACTGAGGAGCTTGAAAAGGTGAAGCAGGAATTCTATGCAACTTGTGATGCAAAGAATCAAGCGTTGAGTCATGCTGATGATGCGACCAAGATTGCTGAAACCCATGCTGAAAAGGTGGAGATTCTTTCAGCAGAATTGGTTCGATTGAAGTCCCATGCTGATAAACGATGTCTAACGAGCCTTAAGGTGGAAGGATGTTCTAATTTGGGGGGCTTTTTCCTCTCTTCATCAAGTCTATCTACTCTCTGGCTTTCTGATCTCTATTCCATTTCTAAGATGGTAACTTTTTCATCGGGTTCTTTTTGTATTTTTAAGTCCAAACCTTTTGGTGCGTGCGAGTGAATTTGTGGTTTATATGTTTCTTCTATTGTAGGTTTTTAACTGTCCCAATTTGAAAGAGATATGCTTAGATTTTTCTCGCCAAGAAAATGATACTACTGATCTTACAACCATGGTTGATGGTATGGGCAGAAGTTGTCCCAAGTTGCAAAACATACACATTGCATCGCTTCGGCTTTCACATGCTGTTGTTCTTTTTCTTGCAGCTACTAATTTGAGGTTTGTTAAACCTTTTGGTCTATGCATTCATTTTAATTATGTATAATTTTTGAATCTATAGGCATTGCTTTGCTTTTTCAGAAATAGTAGTGATTAATGGACTTGCTCCGTTCAGTTTTCTAGCAATGCCATCTTAATTTATAAGCTTGCAAATTCGATTCTGAACTCCAACATGAGTAGTAGAAATGGTGAGATTGACCTGCATGAACAATCCTATATGATTTCAAAGATAATCCTGTTTAATTTTGAAGAATTTGTAAAAGATCTAGCGCTGGGTAAAAAAATATTTAGCTGATGTCTATAGGAAAAAACATGTTGTGCTATGTGGGAAAGGAGAGGGTGGAAAGGACATTGTATTATTTTAGAAAGCGTGTTGTCAAAATTGTCTGCAGAACCTATTTCATGTTAAGTTATCCTAATTTTCGTAAGAGGCAGATAACATTTTGTGTGGCTCTCTTTCAGAATATTTTTGTAAGTTGGTGTGGCTGTTCTAGTGATCTTCCATGCGTATCTTGTTATTAAGTTCATTACCATTTGTTTCTCAATTCCAGGTTTTCCTCTGCTTTGGAAACTCGGTGGCTTCAACCCGATTTTTGTTGCAAGATGAATTCAATATTCAAACAACAAAATGTGACAATTGCATTATTGTAATCTATCCCTTTCTTCATCCAATGCATCTTAATTACATTTGTACTCGTTGGTCATTGATTAAACATATCATCACATGATGTTTAGGGTTTTATGTTTTGCCTGTAACAAATTGCCTGCATATTTTCCATAGTTGCAATGATTGTTGGGAGTGGTGAGATTCAAGATGCAGCACAGTTACTGAACTGTTTGGCCGATATGGTTTATTGCACGTTAAGTATTCTGTTCCATTCACCCCACTTATCTGAAGCTATTTTTTCCTAAAGATGATACGCTGACGTTAAGTATTTTGTTCCATTCACCCCACTCATTAGTTTAATAAAGGTTGTCTATTGGTTAGGGGCTTGCGAATGCTTTCACTTGTTCTTGGCATCACCGATGCATCTGTTGCTGCTGTTGCTTCAAGCTATTCTAGATTAGAATTGCTTGATCTAAGTGGGTATGTTTTGCTCCAGCTTTAATTAATTTTTTCGTTTATATGTGCTGGTTTGAAGGGATTACTTTTTATTAGTTATTCTTTGGCTAAATATTCTCCATGCTTGCTGCTTCATTTCAGGTCTAGCATCAGTGATAGTTATTCTGATCAAAATTCTGACAGTGAAGTTCCAAATGTATTGAACAATAAATTGCACCTTATGTGCCAGAAGCTTATCATCAAACACAGCCGACTAAAGAAACTCAGCTTATGGGGTTATTCTGGCTTAGATGTGAGCTCTTTTAGTCCTTAATCTCGAGTATGTTTCTAGTTGCTTCTCAATATCCTATGCCGTTCTTATTTGTTGAATTCCAATGCAGGCTTTATGTTTGAATTGTAAGGGTTTGGTAAAGTTGGAAATGTTTGGCACTGTTGGCCATCGTATTCCCTTTGACTTTACCACTTATTGTATGTTTTCTTAATGCAGGATGCTTGCTGAATTGATGCAATGATGCTTGTTGAATTGGTACATTGATGCTTGTCGGTTGCTGCTGTCTATTACTCACTAATGCTTTGTAAATTATTGTTGTTGGTCTGACTTAAATCAATTTTTGAACCTTATAAATTCTTATTTAAATAGTTACTCATGTGGAATTATGTTGGTGGTATTTTTGGCTTTTAAAGCTAGAAAGTTGCCCATAATTAAACATATTGACATCATTTAGGTATAAACTGGTAGTACAGTTAGACTTTTAGCCTTGTAAAACTTTAGCTATAAGATCTGAGATCATTTATTCTAACATAAATTTATTTTGTTTAGTTGATTTTATTATAATTTTAGTATTTTCAAGTGTAATAAAATTAACTTCATTTATAAATTTTTTGTTTTAGTATTTGTAATGTTATTCAAGTTTCAAATCTTTAATAAGTTCATCATTTCAACTAATATATTTTTATTTTTAAAATTTCAAGTTAAGTTATACTTAAATTATTAATCAATTTTAACATTAAAAATAAATTAGATTTATGAATATTTTAACTCAATTTATATAATTTAATAAAATCATGTTCAATAAGATAATATTTAAATTTAATTTAGTGATTATAAATAAAATTTATAATATAAGAATTATAAATAATATAAAGAATTAGAATTAATATAAAAATCAAATTTATACTATACAAATTATAATTAATATAAAAACTAAATTTCAAAAAGTAATCATATTAATTTAATTATCATAAGTTTATTATAAATTTAAAATAACATAATTATATTAATTGTAATTTATTACTTATAAGTGTGGACAATATTAAATCATTTTAACAACATGTCGGATCATTTACAGGTTGAGTTAATTACAGGTCAGGTTCATAACAGGTTAGGTTGAAAACATGTCGGATAATACCTGTTATTTACCAGGTCAATCTCGGGTTCGGGTTTATATCAGTCGGATGCAGTTCGGGTTCGGGTATCATATTTTTCGGTTCAATTCGGGTTCAGGTCATTCTCAGGTCGGGTGCAGGTTGGGTTCGGATCTACAATTTACAGGCCCGACTCGGGTTCATGTCAACACCAGTTTCAACTCGAGTCGGTTTCGGATCACCACAGCGCAGTTCAAAAACAGTTGACTCGAGTCGGTTTCAGTCAGTTTTACAAGTCGGGTCAACTTTTTACACCCTACTTATATTGAAAGAAATGAAGATGCCCTAGAGTGCTCTTTTTGGGTCCTAAAATTTCACTACGACAGCCATGTGAGAGACGTTGGGAAGGGTGGCCAAAATAGGAAAATGTCTCGGTAAGAGTTTGCAATGGATCTTTCGTCCCAAATCTGTCAAAATGAAGAGGGACCAATTTGGGCTTGGATTTAAGCTCAACTTCCAGCAATGAAACCAAGAACTGAAGAAGAGGAGAGAAGCAATAAAAGACATATTAAAAGGAGAGGATATTCATTGGGAATGAATGTATTTTCCTCATTTAAAAGACATTTTCAACTATGGAGGGATGTATGATGTGGAGCAATAGTTAATTAATGCAATCAAAGATGGGCAACAGATAGAATGTCAGGACATTTTAATCTGGAATGCAAGGAGTTACTCAAATATGAAAGCGTTGCGGTTGGTTTAATCAAAGAAATTGAATTGGAAGAACCTGTAATTTGAAATCTGGTCGTCGAGTTAAAGACATTAAAAATAACGTTTAATGGGAGGTAACTCATTTTAATTTAATTTGCTTAAATCGTTTTTGATTTATATTCGTTGTTTTAATTTGACATTTTACTTATTTCTAATTTTAATTTTTTAGGTACCCATTGTTTCTGATTAAGTTCGATTGAAGCTGAGAGTAAATCTGGTACAAATAAAGCTCGAAATCCTTTCTCTGGACGTGATTATCGCAAGAAAGCAGGCAACAACTCCATCACCCATTATACGCAATGTTTCATTAAATAGTTTGCGTTAGCATATCTCACAAGGGGCAGGCACATGTTAGCTAAACCCATGACCCTTATTTTCATGCTTGCCGCCCAATTCTATACCATTCCCCCCAAAGCCAACACCCTTTTGCCTCTACTTTGACCTGCCGCCAAGGTTTATTGTTTAATTGCTAGCTGTTCATGTTTTCTACTGTTTTGAGTGTTTTTACATGTTTTATGTGCAGAATGATAGTTTCTGGAAAAATGTTCTAAAAAGGGCAAAAAAACTACTTTTTATTCTGGAATCAAAACTAGAATAGTAGGCATGAAATCGGGCATAAAATTCTGACGTGGTAGTGAGTCAACAGTTTCGAAAAGGTCAAGTCAGCATCCAGTCAGCAAGTTTCTGGAAGACGTGCGGACGATTGAGCAATTCAAATTTAAGAAATAAGATTTATCTTTTAGGATAAAATTCAAAAAATGTTAAGATTTATATTATATAATTTATTTGATTTATTTTTAGCATTTCTAGGGGTTTAGAAGGCTATACCCATCTCGGGTAAGCCATTTGGATCATTCAATATCTCGAATCATCATAATTCTCTTGTTTTTTTTTTCTTTTTTTTAGTTTTATTAAAATTTTCTTCTACTTTCTCTGTTGTTTTTTTAAAGTTTTTATTTTTAAAATGCAAAGTATAACTTTTGTCATGCTTAGCTAATTTTCCTTTTTAGACGTGGGTAAAAGCGATGAGTCAATTATGACGAGAGAATTAAATAACACTTCAATAACTTCGAAATTTCTCTCTCATTCTCTGCGCTTATTTTTATAAAATCAAAACAATTTTACAAAAATAAAGATTAACTTTGGTCTTGATTATTGTTGTGATTATATATGTGGAAGGATCAACTCAAAACACATTCGACTTCCTAGGAACACAATTTAACAAGATTGCCTTGTTATGTGGAAATTGATATTGGGGAAGTGATTATTGAAATATCTTGTCCAAATTGGTTGCAAATGCGCTTGGATCTTGATCATTATCAAGATTGCCTTGGTTTGATTAATTTCCAAAATCAAAATTGAAGATTGATTTGGGTATTCGGTGTACAATTTA